CATCAGAAATGCAAAAAAAGAAAAGCAAAAAGCAAACAAACCCTGCAAGACCCATCAGAAAAGGAGGGGGGAACCCAAAAAGCAAAAAAAAAAAAAAAAAAAAAGAATGAAAGAGGGTACAAAAGACAGAGTGACGGCTGATCATGGCGGTGAGCTGGGCGGCACTAGTGAAGATCACAGGGGGAAAAAACCAAAAAGCAAACACAGAAGCATAATCCCCCCAGCCCAAAACCACTCTGCAAAACTCACCAAGAACAGGCAGTTTTTAGAAAGCAGCACCTTACCAGGCAATCCGAAGCCTCCTCCAAATGCACACTCTCTAACCGCTGGGGCATAAGAGTTACAAAGAAGCAGCCTCTTCGCCACTGATAGCAGTTTGAATTCCCCACCTTTTTCCCTGCCTTTTTTCCGATCATAACTCGAAACTCCGGTTGCAAATCAAAGCAAAATTTTGCAGCCGGAGCTGGTCGTAACTTGAATTGGTCGTTAGTTGAGATGTTCGTAAGTCGAGGCATCACTGTAGTCAATAATTTTCCTTTTTTAAAAATGAATACATGTTCAAAAGTCTACATCCGTCTGTGTCAAAATCAGCAGGCCTCCAGCTATTTCGATTTCACTGATTTCTAGTGAACAGAAAAAGTTTTAGATATTGACATCCAGTGATTTTTAATGGGAAGCCCAATGATTTGAATTTTTGAATCAAGGTATCAGAGGGAGTTGGCTTCAGATAGCACTGAGCCAAATTTGGTTGTTTTTGAATCCCCATATCAGAATCCAAATTGAATTTCAGTAGCTCTACATACTCCTGATAGCATCTAGAAATTTCTCAGAAGGTTTAAGCTTGAATGAACATAGAAGGGCCTTAATGGAACTTACTAAATGCAAACAGTTTTTAAGTGAGGAGGGAGAGGGTGCAGCCACACTAAGAGATGACTATGCCTGCAATTTTCTTATCAACTTTCCATTTTGAAATGGAAACAAGTACTCAAAAGAAAAAAAATCACAAACTATTTCAAAGACCAAGAATTAATATACAGATGAACTTAAAAATACTGGCTGAAATCCTGTTGCATACTTAGGTTCACTAGAGTAGGCCCACAATGGGGGTTTGTTACGTTCCATTGATTCAAATTGGTCTATTTTAATTGTGACTTGCTGTGCTAAGCAACAGGATTTTAGCCATTATTTGCTAATTGAGTAAGACAATAAAAAAGTATATAAGGCAGACATAAAATCACATTCACAGTGAATTATTTGGCAATGAATTTTGTTTTTTATTTCCTCTGCTGTTGACTGCTTTTTCTTTTACAGTTGCATCCTAATTATGGCACCACAGTAGTGATACTATATATTTTGTGTAAGCACAGTAAAGTGGATTTTGCAAGCAAAATCAAAATATGAGGGGTGGGGAGAGAGATAACTATGAAACTGGAGCTCAGATCAGCACCAGATTTGGCATGGATGTAGCAGAAAATCTGTTCTTGGTCTGTGCCAAATTTGGGGTTTGGGGCAAAGAGTGTTCAGGATGTGATTTTTTTAAAAAAAAAAAAACCCACTATTTTACTCCCCATACAGAACTAAGCGACCATTTCATCAGCTAAAGGAAAAGAGATGAAAAACATAGATAAGCCAAAATGTGCAAACCTGCAGAGTAAAACCTCTATTTTAGCCTCTTTTTTTTTTCATCCACAGGAATTGGAGCAATCATGGCTCTAATTCAGACTATTTAATTACTACTTTTTAGTCCCTAAAATGTCTGAAATCACTGTTTTTTAAAAATAACTTCTGAGAATTCTGAACAAACTATTTGCATAGCATAGCATTCTGGACAATGAGAATATGTCTCCAGTCAGCCCACAGAACAGGTGTCCGTCACCTTTAACCCTGTCATGGCCTTCAGTGTCAAAGAAAGCATTTAACTCCTTTCTGGACACAGATTCCTAGCCCTGTTTTTGGAGATATTTTAAAAGCTATTTTAAAAGAATAGGTAATAATACTGTACACAGCAGCTCACTCATTTAAGTTGCAAAATTAATCACAAAGCACATTTTAACTGTTTCACTCATGAATAAGATTACCCAGTTCATTCATAAGTTTATGGATCCACATGATTTCATATGATTTTTAAATGTTGTCCTCACTAAACCAATGTCAGATCATAGATCCTGTTTACACCCACAGACTACACCACAGTAATCAAGGGTCTCCAGGCAAATGGCTTTACAGTGGCACAAAATATTCATCTGAGATGGGAGTATGTGCATGCAGGTGTGCGGGTGGGTGGGAGTGTATGCACTCACGTTCCTTCAGCCCTCAAAAATACCGAAAATATATTATGTGGCCCTCTGTGTGAAGAGTTTGGAGACCCCCTGCTGTAGACCATCTTGACTGCTGCCATTGGTGTTGTCAACATTCAGGCTGCCCTTTGCTGTGTAAAGCTTGGGATCCTTTTCCTGCTGGAAATGCAGGCATTATATTTTGCAGCTATATTGGGCCATTTCCTGGCTTTTTGAATTATGGGTACAGAACCACAATATCCCATATTCATAAACTGGAGGATTTTTGAATAATTGAATTATCATTCAAGGCTACAAGAAATAAGTATGTTTCCTCTCTTCCCATCATATAACTTAAGTAAATTTACTGTGTTTCTGTCTGTCATCCTACCCATGGAAAGTAGGAACCAGATATTTGAGTTTCTCAGAATTTTTTTTGGTGGAGATGACAAGAAAATTCTCAGTACAACAGGACAGTATTAGTGAGGGATCCATTCTATGATCTACAGTACCGTGAATGCCTGAAACCATGAATAGTAGTTAACCCTATATACAACACACAAGGAGACAGGAGAAAGACCACAAGGCCTGCCCAATGTATGTTGTATATAGGACTGTGGATAACTGAAATTGTAGATACTGATCCCATATATGCGGGGATCTTACTGTAGTAATATACACTTTGCACATACTCCTATGATCTCCACTGTTTTGATAGTTCACATGTAATTGTGTATTGGTTTCAGGCATTTTCATATTTACTCTCCACAAAATTATTCTGTATCTGATTTTTACTCCAGGCATGTCTTTTAAAGATGAGGGGAAAGTAAAAAAATTATTTTGATCCATATGGTGACCAAACCTATGACAACCGAACAGGTTGGCACAGGCTAGCCAGCTGAGCAGTCCTCGTTCTGGTGCTCTAAAGAAATGTGTACTCTAGCTGTTGCTGTTACTAGGCAACATGAGTTCCTACTGAGCATTTGCCACAGAAAGACTAACAATATAGTAGGACTCCCATATCCGTAAAGGATTGGTTCCTAGCCCCCCCCCCC